CTCACCTGCCACTGGGGCACAGCTGAGCTGCCATCAGGTCCTGAGTCTCCCCAGGCTCCCGTGGGAGAGGAGGAGTTTGTGCCACCTCCGGGCTCTGTTGCAGCTCCTGGCGAAGCAGCGAGCACTGCCGAGGCCGTGGGGTGGGACCAGGCTGAGTGTTTCGCCTGCTGGGAGCAAGGATGCTTAAGATCTTCACCCTGGCAGGAGGAGCACCCGGGAGGGGGCAAGCAGGCCGACAGCTGCGACTCAGAGTCTTGTTACATGGCAGCAAAACCCCGCTGGGGCTGTTCTGGGCATCCCTGGGTGGCCGCACACCCTCGGCAACCTCCCCATGTGTTCGGGGAAACCCAGGGAAACCAGACAGAGCAGCCTTTTGCTGCGGCTGGGGCCACCCCAGGGCTGGGCTCCTCCCCGAAGCCAGGCAACCCGCTGGCTGTCTCTTGTCCCACAGGGCTCTCGGGGCTCAACATTCAGCCTTGTCCTCGTCCCCAGGTGCTGCGACAAGAGATTGTGGACAAAGATAGATTTGAGCAGGTGCAAGTCCATCACCCCCCAGGCGCTGAGCGGCATCATCAAAAGACAGCCGGTCAGCCTCGACCTCAGCTGGACCAATATCTCCAAAAAACAGCTTACGTGGCTCGTCAACAGGCTGCCAGGTGAGCGTGGGCTGGGGAGGGGTCCCTACCTGTGCCACCAGACTGCTCCGAGGCTTCCTGATGGCTGGACCACAGCGAGAGACACGCTCTGCACCCTGGTACCTGCCAGCAGGAAAATTCCTAGGTGCCTGGATCCCGACATGCAGCAAGCAGCCGATAGTGATGTGGTTTCCTGCTGCTGTGTGTTAACCTCTCCTTCAGAGAGCCTGTCCCACCCCAGGCAGGGCGGGGAGCTGCTTCCTCATGTGCCTGGAGAGAGAGGGTTGAGATCTGGGACGCGTCGGAACTGACCAAGCCCGTCTGACTTGTTACCTCTCTCCCTTTTCGCGGCAGGCCTGAAAGACCTCATCTTAGCGGGCTGTTCCTGGTCTGCGGTCTGTGCTCTCAGTACCTCCAGCTGCCCCCTTCTCAGGACCCTCGATCTTCGGTGGGCAGTAGGAATCAAGGACCCTCAGATCCGGGACTTACTCACGCCTCCAACAGACAAACCCAGTAAGCTCTTGCCCAGACTGCCACGGGGCAAGGTTGGGGTGGTGGAGAGTTGGAGGAAGGTGACATGCTGGGTGCAGAGGGGAGGCGATGCCAGATCCAGAATGCCCCAGCAGGGCAGATAGTCCACGCTCAGCTTCTCCTCTCCCTTTGCAGGTCAGGACAATCGCAGCAAACTCCGCAACATGATCGATTTCCGGCTCGCCGGCCTGGACATCACCGACGCCACGCTGCGGCTGATTATCCGCCATATGCCCCTGCTCTCCCGCCTCGACCTCAGCCACTGCAACCACCTTACGGACCAGTCAGCCAACCTCCTCACGGCCGTGGGCTCTTCCACACGCAACTCCCTCACCGAGCTCAACATGGCAGGTGGGTACGCTGCTCTGGGTAGCCCAGGCTGGCCTCCCCGGGCTCTGCTGGACCGAGGGTGGCCTGGCTGGACTTACCGTTGCAAAGCGGCTTCCTCCTCCCCGCCTGCCCTCCCAGCCTGACGTGGGAGCTCAGCTCCGGCTTCGCAGAGGCGTTGTAACTCACTCTTCCTCTCATCTCCCCGCAGGCTGCAATAAGCTAACGGACCAGGCCTTGCTGTACCTGCGCCGCATCTCCAATGTCACTCTAATCGACCTGCGAGGTTGCAAACAGATCACCCGCAAAGCCTGTGAGCACTTCATCTCGGACCTGTCCATCAACAGCCTCTACTGCCTGTCCGATGAGAAGCTGATCCAAAAAATCAGCTAGAGACCCTCCCTGGGGCAGACTGAGGAGAAGGAAAAGAGCCCATCCCACCCCTCTCGGAGAGCCGCTCCTCCACATCCCCACCTTGCCCTCCGTGTCCTGCCGCTGCCTCCCACCTGACTCGGCAGGCAGGGCCGC